CAAGAACTAGAAATAAAAAAATATGGACATCGCGACTAAAAAAACTATCGAAGATCGCTATTCTACTCTGATTTAATTTGACAAAATCTACTCCTAGAATCGGATGAGGTTTTTAGAAAAAAAAAGTTGAAACAAAGCGTATAGAAATATCTTTAAAATTTACTAGATTACAGCGGTCATTTCAACGGCCAGATCCGGTATCTCAAGAGAATTACAGAGCGAGTCACACCACAAAACCCAGGGGTTGCCCATCAAACTTCGAGGTCTAGCGGTCTCGACCCCCGCCCGCCCGTTAATGGTGGGAACGAGGGAAGGTAGAGGAGGGTTTTCGTGGTGCAAAGATTTCGAAGCCTCATATAGGTCGGACGATAAGAGCGTAAAGCCCTAACATCAAGGTTAAGAAACCTATAAAAAAGCTAGAGCTGGTAGCGCCGCATCAAGGTTTTCAATTTTTGGGCCGTATCCCGAGTTCAAAAAAAGAATGAAATAGTTTAAGCTACGTTGAACGTACTAAATAGATGTACAAGCACCTGTCCAGACAGTCAGGATTGTCGACAGGTGGGCGGCTATCTGGATGGTGGACGGGGGAAAGTCATTCCACACCATTGAGCTTCACGCACGACGATTTCCGCCTTCCCTTTTCCGTTTTTTGGGGGTGTTCTGTGTGGGCTGGTGGTCAGAGGAAGAGAGAGAGAGAGAGAGAGAGAGAGAGAGAGAGGGGAGAGAAAGAGAGACTGGAATACCCCGGTTTTCTAGAATCTTACTAGTAGCCCCAGGTGTCTGTTAATTTACCGGGTACGCTTGGCAGAACCACTTCCGAGGAATGGCAGGATAATAATGGGGTGGCTAAGCTTGGTGGATGAATTTACATAGTCTCCTGGTTCGAGTTTGCCAGTCATAAGCTAGAAAGATAGGAGGATAGAGTGAGAGAGGGAGAAAGAGAGAGAGAAAAAGAGCGTCACTAGAGAGAGGGAGGGAGTAAGGGGAAGAGAGAGGAGAGAGGGAAAAAGAAGGTAAAGATTTTCCAAAATAAAAAATTTGGAAAAATTTAAAAATTTTGTTTATTCAATGTTCAGGGCAAGGGTTCATCGGGACCCGATGGCGTTTTCAAGCCGTGCTAAAGCCGAAAATTGCCCCGGGTCGGGCACAAGGGCCGAGAAGACGGATGGACAAAGGGCAATACGATGGGTTGAACATTGTTTTGAAACGTTAGATATTTTTTTAAAGGCAAGATTCATCAAAAACGACCTAGCATTATCCAAATTTTATAAACATTCCATATATATATTATTCTAAAAATTATACAGTTTTGCTAAAATATCCATACGTCTCTAAAAGTCAAAATTCAAAAATTAACAAGTTACCAGGGTTGAAAAGCCGCTTCGCGACTTTTCAACCCTGGCCCCGTCTAATTTGATGAAATTCTTCACTCTGCATACGTCTCTCGAATTCCTATGGGGAAAAAAATGAGAAATTCCACTCCCTCACGTTATATATAGGCTTCCGCCACTTCCGGCGTATGCTAATTATTTCCTAACAAAGAAGGCTGCCGGATTTTTCAACAAAAACTCAATTTTAATGTCGAAAAGCATAAATTGCAAAATCAGATATGTCATCATCTCGGGGACGTTACGCACCTAATGACGTATCATAGTAGCCTAACCCCTTCCCCTCTTGAGATATCCTCCGGACACGGTGACGGAAGTTGCATTCAAATGCACACACACACACACACAGGAACTATTTTTTTATATATAGTAGGAATGGTCTAACTAAAATCCGTTTTGAAAATACAGATCCAATTATGTCAAAAAGTTTTCAAAAACCCACTTGACAGTCAGCGACACCGAGGCCTTCTCTTCAAATGACAGCTCGACGACCTCATCGGGATTCTCGGCCGAGGTGGATGCGGAAACGGAAAGTTGCTGGGTGGCCATTCGGTATGAATCCGTGCGGGAGGCCACCGGATTCGTTGGCTCCATCTGGAAAACAATTAGCATAACGAGGAGAAATGGGTATTTGCACAGGGGGTGTTGTCATTTATAAACGGATTGCAGACCGGGCTCGAGCCAAAAGTGGTGGTCAATAGGATAATTTTGGACATTTTGACAGGAAATAGACCTCGACAAGCTATTTTATGGCATTGGATGCTTAGGCTTAGGCTTAGGCTTAGAAATAGGCTTAGGCTTAGGCAAAGGCTTAGGCTTTGGGCTTAGGCTTAGGTTGAAGTTCTAGTTGCTGCGTAGAGGCGTCGCGGCCGCGTTGTGTGACCAACCTTTTGCTCGAGCTTCAGGCGTTGCGGTTTGACGGGAATTTCGGGCTTCGCACCCCGGGGCGACATTGGTGGTGCTAGTCTGAAAATATGAAATTTTGAGGTAGGGAGAGAGAGAGCGAGAGAGAGAGAGTGCTGCGCTTCGAAAAATACGCCCAGGGTGGTCAGAAAAACGCGTGAAAATGTCAGTCCGAATCGCTTGGAGTGGGTGGACAATCCGCTAAATGCCGTTCCACATGCACAGCCGGTGGCTAGCCAGAAAGTGGAACTGGGTCAGACTTGTAAGCGGCAACCATATTCGGGGATTGGCTCAAAACAATGGGGAACGTGTTAAAGGGATCGGGCTTACGACCAAGCCTAAGCTAGGCCTAAGGTACGCCGAAGCTAAGTCTAGGCTAAACCAAGTCTAAGCCTAAGCTAAGCCCAGCGCCAAGCTGCCGAAGCTAAGTCTAAGCCTAAGCTAAGCCTAAGCTAAGTCTGAGCTAAAGCCAAACACTAGCTTAACCCCTAAACTAAAAAGCACCAGCTTGGCCCAAGTCTAAAAATTTTCTAAGCCGAAACAAAGCTTTCTAAGCTATGCCTGCGCTGAGGCTAAGTTGACCCGGTTAAACCCAAGCCCCGGCTTTAGGCTGGGGTAAGTTTGCTAAAGCAAGATGAGCCGAAGCGCCAGCCAAGCTAGCCAAGCCTAAAAGCTAAGCCGAATCTAAGCCGAAGCTTTCTGTAAGGCTAAGCTTAAGCTCGAGCTCAGACTCACAGGATCCAAAAAGCTTCAAAGCCAAATCTGGAAACCTGAAAGCCCCACTCGACAATTTATGATCGACAGAATTCTAAATGGCTGTCCCTTTGTCCTATTTTCTCGAGGGCCGTCACTTTTGTTTTGAGCAGAAAACGAGGAAAATCATGAAATATCCACTAAAAGCCCGCATCCATCTGTAAATATTTGCATGTTGATGATAGTACGCGACGATACGGGGCGACGGCTGGCCGACAGGAAGACATGGCAAAACAAAAAAAGGGCCATTTATGGACGCGGGGCAAGCCCGAGGGGAGAGAACCGGTCGCTTTTTAGCGTTTTTTAGGCTCGGTGATGGCCGGGGGGGATGCTAAACATAGCCTTTTATGTGGCTTGTCGATTTGCATATGGGAAATGGTAAATTTTACGTTTGCGGGACGATAATTACACTAGTTTTGGCTTGCCAAAAGATTCCATGTGCTTTTCGGTAGTATTTTAAATACCAAAATACTGAAGACTCCTAATTTGCATAAAAAACATAAAAAAATAAAATAAGCTAAATAGATAGAAAAATACAAATTTAGATTTTCCAAAGTTGCGAAAAATGTTAGTTTCAGTTTCTAATGACATTTCAACCTTTTTCGAGCAATTTAGCGCCATTCGACGGAAATCCCAAATTTCCATAAAATTTCTGGAATTGAGATTTTTCACTTAATAACTTCGGTTCGGCATTTTCTGCGAATTTTTTGGCATTTTATTCCTTGAAATTGTTGCTTTCAAAAACCCCCGGATTACTGTAGCAAAAGGATTCCCGATCCAAAACGTGCAATTTTTAGACTAGAACCCTCAAAAAAATGCGCAAAAAATTGGGCGGGATGGCTCGTTTACAGCCACGAAAGCTGCAAATCGACCTGGTTGGGCATGGGGCCGGGGGGACTGTAAAGTTTCAGCCGCGCGGATTAAAGTGCGAATAAATGGGCACGCGATGGGGATTGGACGCCGGGTTGGAAAGTTGGCGTCAATAGGAAAAAGTGGACTTTTGGGTTACCCAGATTGAAAATAAGAGAAAGAAAATAACAAATAACTACACGAAATGATGAAGCGGAAGCTGCAGAAAAACTCACTTTTTCACCTGATCCTCCGCTTCCGGAACTTCTAAATCCTTGGCGATGGAAAATCGCTTCTGGGAGCCAGATCTTTTTCCTAAATAATTGAACTTCCTTCTCTCAATTTAATTAAAATTAGCAAGCCAATCGATATAACAACATACAATTAAATTTCGTTAATTATCGATTATTCCTTTATTTGCAAAAAATATTTACTTAATTTCATTATTATTATCGAACCTTTTTTAGCTATTAAATTTAATAAAAATTTAATTTTTTAAAATTCTATACCTAAAGATTCTCTGCTAGCCGCCCGGGATAGTGATTGAGACTTTCTTCGCGTCGAGTTCCCTGAAGATTCCGTTTTGTTCCCGTTTTATCGATTGTCCCGCCAGAAGACGGTCATTGAAGTGACATTGAAGGCAAAATCCATAGCAGCCTTGCGATTTTTGCCTTGACAACCCCTTTAAAATCACTAGAACCCACTGCCTTGGAAGATTTCGTACGAGCTGAGCGACTTCTTCTTGAGGGAGCTTCGTTTCCGGGCCAGGCCCACTTTTACGGGTTCGCTGAAAATGATAATTCGATAATAAAATTGAATTGATATAACTAAAAAATAATTTTAGCTTCAGACTAAGCCTAAGCCTAAGTCTAAGCTTAAATCTAGGCCTAAATCTAGACGGATCTACGATTTTGAGCCAAGGCGATGATGGATCGGAACGAAAAGCTATAGCAGAGGGAGAGAGACAGAGCGAAAGAGAGAGAGAGAGAGAGAGACAGAGAAAGAGAGAGAGACAGAGAGCAATATCAAAAGAGATATCCAGCAAATTCCACAACCACCACGAGACCATGACGACGAGGTTGTAATAATTCCACCAGGGCCCCATAGTATGGGCCACGAACGGGGGAGAGTCCGGCTCCTTAGCACGGGAGCACGAACTAGCCTAGCCTGGTCCAACCGCCCTTTACAACCCAAAGGGATACCCCTGGGCGCTGGGATTAATTACATTTTGATCGGGTGCCAAGTGTTCGGTGGGGGGTTAGATATTTTAAAGGGATTGGGAAGTCAAGGGATTTTTTAATTTCTTTAGCGGTTTAATTAAAGGCATTGAGCACCGGGCACATCATCTCGGAATGAACACGAACTCACCGATGTTTTGTGGAGGTGCCTAAAGGATAAAATGATAGGGAAGGCAAGAGCGAAAGAGAGCGAGAGAGAGAGAGAGAGAGAGAGAGAGAGAGAGAGAGACAAAAACCTTCCAATGACAACCCAACAGAAAAAGCCTAAAGAAAGCGTGTCCGTTATTCGTTATTCAGACATCCAGGAGAGCAAGAGGTGCAGAAAACGGGAAACGAGTGGAGCACGAAATAGAGGAGCACGACACCCCTTATTGTGGGCTTTGTCCAGGGGAGCCGCAGGGGAGGACGAGAACGAGGAGAAGGAGGAGGAAGAGAACAGTGGGTCAAGTGGCGGTTTTCCTGCGGCAATCATCGGATTGGCTGATGCCAAATATTTTGTATGCCAAAAGCTGATAGGAAACGCAGCAAGCACTGGAAAAGAGCAAAAATCAGAGAAAAACTTGGTAGGAAAATCAATATTTTTATTTTCATTTTACAATCAGATTAGCTTTCTAATTTCAGAATTCCGTAAAAGGCCAAAACTTTGCATATTTGCCCCAAATTTCGATAGAATTTTCGTAAAATTTTGGATGAAAAACATGCTAAAATTAGCATATTAGCATCTGCGCCAAACGCCGAGCCAAAAATCGTACAAAACGCTTGGCAAAGCCAATTTCCGGAGCGGCCACCTGCCCCTTCTATACCCTAGACCCATGAGGCCCAAGAATGGTGTCCACGTATAATCAATAAATTCTGGGGTGGGCCCTGGGCCCCTAGAAAGGACCCTAATCAACGCAGCACCCCGTTCGCACCCTAATCCCTTCATACACCCCACACACTCACTCTCATAATTATTGCGCCAGCCGGGACACGCCAGCCCCCTGGCCGCATCGCTATAATTTGCATATTGACGAGAAATTAACATAGGAAAGTATTTCTCTCTCGCTCTCTCTCTCTCTCTCTCTCTCACACTCTCCCCTCTCTCTCGGCTGTAAATACTTTAAAGATGTTTAGGATGTGATAAAAAACCAAATATGCATGGAATTCGCATTTTTATGCTCTAAAACACATTAAACGAAGTAAGAAAAGCTAGTTATTTTTTAATAGATTTTAATACGCACAAAATTTTAAGTTTCAAACATTTTATAAATGGTCCTATTAAAGCTCGGAAGAAACGTAGGGAGTAGGGATGTTCGCTTGACTAGAAAAATTCATACCTTGGCGCCTGTATCCGGAATTTCCCAATGCGCTTCGCCGGCTTGGCCGGGGTCGGAAAAGGTGCCGTGCTGATTTCTTCGAACCTGAATTAAGTGAATTGCGTTGTAGTTTAATGAAACGATACCTTCGGGCCAGATCACGGACCCGCGACCGGGGCACTGGGTCCTGGCCGGCCCCATTGGGCATTCTGAAAAGGGGATGGATCCTGGGAATCGAAAACTATAGTAAAAAATATCGAAAATTCGACAAAATAATCTTCCAAAATTCCAAAAAATAAATAAATCTAAGCAAGGCGGTCCGGGAAAGAACTTATAAATTTGCATAAACTGGAGTAACGAAAAAGCTACCTTGAGCTAAAGCTCAACTGAAGCCTGAGCCTAAACCTGAGCCTAAGCCAAAGCCTAAGCTAAACCTAAGCAGAACTCCTTGAAAATGTCGCGCGCGCGCCATCAAACCCGACTCGAGAATCAGCGGCACATTAAAAGAGGACGAGAAGGTGCTGATCATCAATTCCTCCTGGTCTTAACTGGTGAGAACGAGGTGATTTGAGTCGATGGATAGGGTAAGGGCTGAAAGCCCTCGAGGACGCGCGATCGCCTATCTGCAATTTGTCCCCCACTATAACTATCAGGGGAGAAGGAAAAATCGGCCACCATCACTACCACCCACAACTAACCACCACCCCCCCCAAAAAAAAACATGAAAAAGAGAGAACGGTTCGTGCGTGCCTCTTACTCGATCTCTTTCTCTCTCTATCTCTCTCTCACACGCTCTCTCTCCCTCTCTCTTTCTCTCTCTCTCTCTCTCTCTCTCGCAGCAATTCGGCTGATTTGTATGAATCAGCCGGCTCGTCGCGTATGGGGCTGTTAACCTAGGCTTGGAACCAACATTTTTTAGCTCGTTTTTGCAGAAATTACGCGATAACAGTTTACAGCCGATAATAGCTTAAGTTTTATGCTATCTATTGTAAGTTTTTTATTAAATTATTTTCATGGTTTAGCCATCGAGAATATTGGCTAGAAAAAGCGAAGGGGGGGGGGGGGGGGGGGGGGGTGGGGGGAGAGAGAGAGAGAGAGGGGGAGGGGGAGAGAGAGAGAGAGAGGGGGAGAGAGAGAGAGAGAAAGAGAGAGAGAGAGAGAGAAGAGAGAGCAAGCGAGGGAGAACTACGCTAAAAGCTAATCCAAAATCGATGAGCAGCTTTCAGGGGTTTTCATGGTCTCCAAATAGGGTGAGAAGCACGAGCTTCCCCGGGGTGAAAGGTGATTTGAATGCGGCGGACACGGACGGCGCTGATGGTGTGTTGTGTTGGCTAATCCGGCCGTCAACACAACAATGGGACAGTCAGTTGGAGGGGAAGGGTAGGGGTGGGTGGTAAAAGACGAGATACACCCCAAAACGGGTAGCGATATGTAGGGGATGAAGCCCGGAAGGCAACTTGTTTCCCTGCTACCCCACAGTGGCATCTAGCGATCCTGTCAACTGGCAGGGCATAAGTTTTGCGGAAATTGTGGACATGGAAAGTTACATTGATAGTTGGCTGGCAGAGATCCTTGAGGAACCTTAAGAAAGTGGGCATGCTAGCAGAGTTAGTTTGAAGAGAAAACCTTAATCGGCCCCCGGGGGCAAATCTCCAAGGGGGGTTTTAAAAAAAGGGGGGGGGGAAGGGGGGGTCCTTGGGGGGGGTTGGGGGGGGGGGGGGCGGGGGGGGCCCTGGGAAATTTTCAAAAATTTTGGGGTGATTAGCAGAGGCCTTTGCAAAATTGCGCCTGGTTCTGGAAATTCGCCGAGATCCTTTAGGGGCCGCAAGAAAGTGAGCAAGCTAGCCGGACTTCATGCGGAAATTCGACCGAAAGTTAGCAGATAGCTTTAGGGAAAGCGAAAAACGAGCGCTCGAGCAGAATTCCTTAAGGAATCCGCTTTTGAATTTTCAGCATAACAGTGACCATTGTGGAAAGTAACTTAGGGGAATCGGCAAACTTGCAGAGATCTTTGAGGAGCGCTTTCCACGGCGCAAGTCAGTCAAGCTCTCGATCCCAAAATCCCTCACCCCTCAATGCATTCCGATGCAATCCGTATTGTGTACATTGTACAGAAATCGAGCATGAGAGAAAGCGAGAGAGAATGAAAGAGAGAGAGATAGAGAGTGAGAGAGAGAGAGAGACTCAAGCGGCCCATTTTTGGGTCTGAAGAGCCCCATGAAAAATGGGGCTGAGAAACAGCGTGGTAGGCAAATGTTTAAGCCTCGGATTATCGCGCGGCGGCCCCGTTTGACCCTCGGTCAATTCAATCGGCCCTTGTGGACCCTGGAAATCGTAAAAAACGGTGTGATACGGTACTTGAGGTGTTGGGATTGTGGAAAACAGTGGGAGCAATGGCTTGGCCCTTCAAAAGTTAACTTGGCATAGGCTTCGATATGAGCTTCGGCTTAGGCTTAGGCCAAAGCTAACCAAATCCAGAAATTAAATGCTGAAACCAGGTTCCTAAATGTTACGCAAAGACGCTCTTTCCGCACACCGAAACCTCGCATTTTCGTACCAACCATCAAATTTGCATAATTGGATGCCCCCGCCCCTGGAATGGGCCGGCGAAGACAAACGAGTTTCCGGTTTCAAACGTTTTTCGGGGGGTGGAAGAGGAGAAGGAAAATTTCTTCTAACAATTTCCTCCCAAAAATCCATAAGGGTAAAATTCATAATCAAGGAAAAATGCATGAAATTCATGGTATAGCGAGTTTTGATGCTTTTTGAGCCCCGGTCGCTTTCAAAAAATGTTACAGTTGACCCAGGGGAGAACAGCTGCAAATTATAAAAATGGCAGCAATTTTGACTTAAAAAATTTTTACAAAAAATTCGAATAATCGATTAGAAATTTAAAAACAAAAATCGCCAAAAATTCAAGATTTTCGCAATTTTTTTTACTTTTGAACCGGAGGTCGGCACAAATGGCTTGTAAACCGCTTCCGATTTTTCCTTCGATCCGGTAAAGACCCTCAAATCAATAAGCGGATGTGGAACGGCCAGTGGCCAGCGGTGGGCCCTTAATTGAGGGCCCGATTGGGACCCGGTCGGCCGGGCAGATCCGCATCCTTGAGTATCCCCTCGGAAAGGGAAAGAAACGCCAGAATTGGAAACGAGTCAAGTGCCAGGGGCAAACCGGCGGGGATTTTTAGGAAAATGCAATTGAAGGGTGAGATAGCAGAGCTAGAGAAACGTTGAATAGGAAAGAGAGAGATTATTGGGGAAAATAAAAGATGGAAAGTAGAGCTTTTACGAATAAGAGAACGCAACTACAGGACAAACAGAGGCTAGGACCGGAAAAATTTACCCAGATGATAAACTAGCACAGATTCCTCAGGAAAATAAAGCTGTAAGGCTATCTAGCAAAGATTCTTGCGGAAAGACCCCAAAATTCCGAGCAAAATGACGTAGCCCCCAAGTAGAAGCAAAAAGAGAGAGCAACAAACGCGTCCGGGGCTACACGCGCGACGCCCAGGCGGCGCCCGGGTAGCGCGGGGATTTGCGAAGTGCGGATGGGTTGATCCGAAATGTAAATGTCGCCGCATCCGGACACGCGCGCCTGGCCGCGCGCTGGGGCCAAGTTTTGCGCTACCGGAAGTCGATGCACAGGGGGTTCGCGCCGGGCGGCCGGGGGTCTGTATGTGATCGTTGAGTGCATACGCGCCCGCGTGCAGCGCCCCCGAATAATGGCCGTGATCTTTATTGTTTTTGGCGGGAGCTTTTTTAAGGGGGAGGAGCACTTTTTAGGGGCTTGCAAAACAGGCGTTCACGTAATGCTAGAAAAAGAGCGGCTGCATGGTCAAGGTATCCAGGAACTAGCGAAACTTCAAGGGTCTATAACTCTGTCAAAACTTTGTGGATTTTGACATTTTAAAGCCATAAAAGCATTTACTTTTCAAGGTCTATCATTTCGTGGCGTTAAAGCGTTTGGAAAAATTGCCGAATTCAGCTTAATCTTTTTTGGCGATTTTCCCCAGCTTCAGGAATTTTCGATTTTTAAAAGGCTTTAAAAATTACCTAACATTTTTAAAACTAAGCTACCAAATTTCATTGGTTACACAACATTAAAAATCATACACAAAAAATGCTTTTTTTCTTCCGAAGCTTAAACTTTAAAAATATCGACAATGTTTTTGAAGCTAGAATTCCCATATTCCATAGAATAAAAAAAATTTTAAAAATACCTGAATAGCTGGATAAGTTGGCAAACCATGTAGACGAATATGAATTTTAGGGTATTAGATGCGTTTTATCCATTATAAACCCAAACATGGACAAATAAGACAAAAGCACTTTATGGAGCAACATAAAGTACAAAGAAATCGACCAGCTGGATTGTAAACATTAAACTTTATAAGTGCACAACTAACGCTATGAATTAATACGGTTTAAATTATCGTATGTTAGAAGTTCAAGCGTACCATAACATTCGATAAAAGAAAGCTCTTGCCAAAACTCTGAAAGTTGGGTATGGAGTACACAGGAGCCAGACGGAATTAATTCAAAATCGAGAACGCAAGTCGAGAAAGGGCTTTCAGGTTTTTTCAAAACATTCTGATGAAGTACCGTGTAGAGGAGACGTTTCTGAATTGAGAGAGAGAGAGAGAGAGAGAGAGAGAGATAGAGAGAGAGAGAGAGAGAGAGAGAGAGAGAGAGAGAGAGAGCGAGAGCCTGAGAGATAGGGAGGCCCAAAAGCAAGAGGGAGGAGAGATAGTGAAAGAGAGAGAGAAGAGATACAGCGGGAGAGAGGGGGCAAAAGCGAGAGAGAGGAGATAGTGAGAGAGAGGTCACTAAGTACCCTTGATTAGCCTGCATTAAGGCGTACTAGAGAAGGAGACGAAAAGTCTTTCCTCTTCTGACGCTGCCAAAATCTAGCCTGTTTATTTTAAAGGGAGTGGCACAATACTGTTTTTAAGGAACATCAACTTAAGCCAGCTTCCAGCACTTTCGACTCCGTTACAGTAACGCCGTGCCATTAGCAAAGGTGACTGACTATACATTTTCATTTGTTGACCGAGAGCTAGGGACCGACCTTCCCTGACCTCCCAATTATTCATGAGTAATTGTACGAAAAGGCTGGGGCCCCAGGAGCCGCAGTGGCCCCACGCAAGGAGGGGGTAGAAACGGACCCATCAACCCCCAAGGGACATTACGTGCCGTGAGGTTCCA